CAACTGCGTGAAACACACAGTAGTATGAAACTTCAACTGCGTGAAATACACAGCAGTATGAAAATTCGGCTGCGTGAAACACACAAACTTCACGCATGCGTGGAGTGTATGGAGTGTACGGGAGTGATTCACGCAATGGTGCGAATAGTCACGGCCTTTAATTAAACAATTAATTCTCAATATCTGAATTTGATTTTTCAATTGATCGAATAATCATCATTCCTGCGAAGTGGATTACTGATTTATAACATATTTAAAAAATTGAAAATGCTGATTGATAATTAATATAATACAAATTACAATAAAATTCAAAAAATTGTAGCATGCATTATGATTTTGCCTATCTCTGATGTCAAATGTTTATTTAGAAGGGAAAAATCTTGAAATCTCATTTTTTTATTTTGAAAAACGTTCAAAAACCAGCGAAACACAAATATTCCCCATTCAATTCTCACTCTCAGCGCCGAGAAAAATCGCGCAAGGTCCAATTTCCTCTAAACACCTCCGTTATCAAAACAATTTAATATTCAACAAGTTGTGAAAACCCGGTGTATTCTATCCAGGGCTGTTCTCCTACATTTCACTTCTCCACAGCTGAAATAAAAAAAATTCCTTGCGGGAGTGCTAAATAAAAAACTTGTTTGACAGATAACCATTGCGAAATAAGCCATAACACCGGGGGAATACTGTGCATCATAGCCATTAAATCGCTTCCACAAACATTCCTCATGGGTTAACATTTTTATTCTCTATAATTTTACATATCCCCACCATTGACCGTAAAACTAAATGGCGGGGAAGCTGAAGACTCGAAGAATGAAAATTGACGCACGATGTGACGCCCATTGGGCAACTTGGTCTTGCAAAAAATGACATTTTTTATTACGTAATTAGGCAAATTGGTACAGAGCCTCTCAGTATTGTCGTTACCACGGTATGCACTTGGCTAGCATTGCGTCGCAGGAAGAAAACGACAGACTGGAGAAGCACATCAAGGACTTTGGATTGGGTCATGAGCACTTCTGGACATCTGGCACCGATCAGGCTGAGGAGGGCACGTTCTTCTGGATGGCAAATGGTAGACCCATTACCTTCGAGAACTGGAACGTCGGGGAGCCAAATAATTTTCGGTAATTTACTCTCTGGTTGACATGGGAATGAGTAGAAAATAATGTATTCTCAAATTGAGAATGTTACGAGGTCATTCTATTATTAGGGGAGCGTGGGGCAAAATCGAAGAGCCGAAAAACGACTACTTGAGGCAATTCAAGCAAAACAAAAAATTTTTAATCGAACAAAACGGAAATAATAATTCTTAAAATTGAAGTCAGTTCCTATAGAAATGCATTTACACGATTCGTAGGAAGAAATTGAAACGTTGTGATTGGTACTAAATGATTAAATAATGTTGCGAAAAAAATTCTCCACAAAATCGATTGATTATTCGGCATCCAATTTTTTTATTCACGACAATTCACTCTAAATAATTGCCTGGGATGTCAAGAACATATAATTAATTGAATAACTGTAAGAGTGACGCATTTCAATGCGATAAAAATATTAAACGAACCGCATTAATGCGCCATCAAATCAATATTCCCAGTTTTATTTCCAAATTCGCATTCTCTTTAATCACTGACGAAATCCTCTTGAAATTCCAAAATAACGACTATTCTCATTATTCGAAGGTACGAAAACGGTGAGGAGGAGCACTGCCTTGAACTTTGGAATCGCGATGGAAAGGGACTCAAATGGAACGACAGTCCCTGCAGTTTCGAAACCTACTTCGTCTGTGAAGTTCAGTGATTTCAAACTCCCATCGCGGGAAGATAATGAATAACGAGGAAGACCTTGACACTTGGGCGCATTTTGTAACTAAAGAATTATATTAACGCCAAAGGACGGATGAGTGTGAATGGGAATAAGTGTCAATGGGTATCGTACATTTTTTAGCGCCAGCATAATGCCCCACACCTTGTGGCACGCACGAAAAAATTTAATAGAAAAACCGAGCGAATTCGATGGAAAATTCTATTAGATTTCAGTTCTAATGCGCGTTTTTATTTAATAATGCAGAAAAAATGTACAGAATGTCAACTTTCTATTGAAATCTTTTCTATAGGAATTCCCTGACCCAATTTTCTCAATTTTATCACGTTGTTTAAATAAAAAAATGAACAAAAAAAACTCAAAAAATATCCCAGGAATTTCCATAGAAATTTAATTTCTTTTTAAAGATTGCAAAGACATGCATGACATGGGAAAAATTCAAGTGCTGCGGATAAAAAACTACTTTAAACGGAAATCTAATAGAATTATCAAGCGAATTCTCTAAAAAAATATTTTTTCTATTGAACTATTTTGTCCGTGGGGTTTCATCCGTAAAAAAGTGACGACGTTGCTTCAAATTTACATTCATCACAACCTCGATGAGCTCTAAGAATTTTTTCGAGGTTTCGTTTCGAATTTGTAATCAATAACTTTGATAATTCGAAAACAAAATCGAAGAATTCATCCATAATTCAACTGACATTATAGAAAATCCAAATATGTAAATTCCGAACGAATGTCGTCATTTACCCTTTCGAACGAAATACCTTAACAACTCGGGGAAAATTAATACCAGTGATGGTACTACGTATTCTGTAAAGCTATTTATGTACGTTAGATCGTGTACTATAGACATTTTTTCTTTCTGATTATTTTTGTGAGGTACATTTCTACGATGTCCTTCCACGCTAACGTTACATTAATTACTAGACGAATAAGGGATAGAATAAGCATAGCGATAATTCACGTGTGTGAAGGGGATCGTGTATCGTGTATTTTGTTTGTTGAAAATAAAAATTATTCAGACAGAACAGGCTGCAGATTTAATTTTTTCCTCGACGAAAGTTCGTAATAATCGTTGATAAGAAAATACCTGGGAGATACCCTGTGCTGATAACAGCAGACTGACAGCAGCCAGGGTAGACACCTCTAATTTATCGACAACGAAAAAAAATTCAACTCAAAGTTTTAAATTCAAATTTTTAAATTCCTCTCAAAATTCAATGAGTCAACGGAAGAAGATATGGCTTATTTGCAAAAATTCTCCCTAATTATCTCACCATTGCCCTGAGTAACGACAGTAATCACAAAATCGAACCAATAAAAAATGAGACTTCTTAAGAAATCAAATTATTCATTTATTAATGGCATTTAAAGTAATACATACATGGTCTTTGAAGGTTCCTAGACAGTTCATCAATAATATACAACAACAAATTCCTCGGAACTCATAGAAACCCATAATATACAACGAAATATACAAATTCATTAGTGGACTATTGAATACACAATCTCTTACTAATTCGCATCTCTCGTATCATACATCAACTCGATTAAAAAAAAAAACACGTGAAGAATCTCAATGAATTGTCGAAGCCACAGTAATTATTGCACGATACTGAAATCGATGAGTTTGCAGTCACCAAGATTCTTCATCCACTCCTTTCCCCTCACCCCACCATTTATCGGATGAAAAGGGATACTATACAATGACAATTACATCCGGGAAATGAAGTTTGTGGCGGTGATTCCCATTAAATCAGACTTTACATCAATTTCACAATTCTGGACAATCGATTCAGTGGATTATTTCCCAAGGAAAATACTCCTGTTACATTATTCAACAAAGAAAATACAGTAAACAAGCATTCACACGATTATTTGTTACAGAAGAAATTTCATACTGCTGCAATTGTGTTCTTTTCACCCCAATTACTATTATTATTTGGCCTATTATTAAAGTTTTATTTTTCTCTTCACTCTCTTGTTTACCAAGTAGTAAGGCTTCTTCGATGTTCAACATTTCCCCAGTTGTACAGAAAATTATTTCGTTGACGTCGATAATTACAAAAGCACATGTCTATCCCCAAAATATATACGAAAATCATAAATTCTCATCATCAATTGAATTGTTGCATGAAATTTCATCCTGAGAAAAGTATAAACAACGACAATTGAGCGATAAATATTGAACCGTACATTTCCCCCTCCGAATAATGATAAAAAATGGAAAAATTACGAGTTCAACACTCATCAATTCAATTTTCATGTCCAGCATTGAAAAAATTCCACGCAAAATCACACCTATTCTCTTCGTAAATAGAACAACTCTAAGTATTTCTAATCCGCTTGCCCCGAATCATCACTCAAATCAATAATTGTACTATAGTATTCAAATATATATAGATTACAATTTGCATTATTCAATCGAATGAAGTACTCCCCATTCCATTGTCACGTCAACTAATTCTCTCTCATTAATTCACCAAAACTAAATGTTCACAATAGTTCTGGCTGCACTTTCAGTAGCTATTCTTCATTTTATGCTCATCAATTACAATGAATTTGTGATTTCACAAGCAGTTCATTACAATTTAATAACAAACTGTAATAAACTGTTCATTAATTGTTATTCTAGATATTTTATGATTCTTTCTTTCTGGATTACAAATACAACTATCACATTAATACGTTTTTGCGACTGTAAATTCTCAAAAAAAATGTTGTTACATTGGTCTTCAGACGAACTTGTCGCTAATATTTTACAATTCTCGATGATTACACTGACGAAATGATAAAGACCATCGCACAAACATTTACAAAATAAATAGTAATATGAAATTTCCAGTCTCCACGTATCGGTAGGAAGCAAATAACTCAATAGACTAAATAAATAAATATTTTATCGTACATCTCACCAGGAATACGTAGTTCAACGATAATCGTTTTGATTGATTTATTTCCTCTTGTGGATTTGTGGCACGAGAAGGAGTAACGAATGTTATGCTCTCTTTTATTTGGTTGTTCGTTCCTCCTCGGACGTCACACTGGACCCCTTCGGGTTTTGATGCAAAGCTGAAGACGTTTATGAAGGATGATTTGGAAGGAGAAATCCAGATGAGGTGTGATCCCCAGGGAAATGCGTACTTTGAGGGGTTTCCATCATGCTTCGATGATTTTTTAACTCTTCGAGTGGACATTTGTCTTCTGCGCCTTCTTCTTTCTAGCAGCCAGCATATCGTAGAATGGATTGTGCGATATACTTTGTCTGGAAATTCATGAAAAAATCGAATTAGATAATTTTGGAAATTTAAATTCATAACGAATAAGAGAATTAAAATTGAGATTTGGAAAGGGGTGATTGTTCATGAAATACAGATGAATATAATGAATATTTTGCATGATAAAATATCAGAATTCAATTTAACGTAATAGAAGAAATATAAATGAAAAATTGACAAAAAATGTAAAAATTCTCAAAACCATGGATTATTTGCATTTTTATTCACCTCAAATAAATACTTCTTTAAATATAAACCAACGTTTTTTGCTCGATTATTATGAAATAAATGGTTTATTCGCTCCTAATAAAAAATTCATTTGTAATGAACGAATTATTCACTTCCCACAATTAAAAAATTCCCTAGATCTATGTATTTATCAACAACGAATGACAATATTATTGAAATGAACATAGATTTTTGGAAATACCGACTTATTTACCTAAATTAAATTAAATTAATTCTTCCCATTGCAAATTAAATTAAATTAATTCACTGTATTTGATGAAACTAACTACTTAAAATCGTGGAAGTTTACCTGACACACTTGATCCACTCGTCTTTCTCCTCATCAGTGGCAGCTGACATTCTGTAGACAGTATGTTTCCCTGCAGAAGAACCCAAAAACAATACATTAAATCCCTCCAATAATTAAAAACACCGATTAGTTTAATGAATCAGAATATCCTCCCTATCCTCCAATAAAAAATCACAATTGCATCTTAATATACCTTCAACGACCTTCCCCTCGCTGTCAGTTTTGCACGCCTTAATGAACTCAGATCCAGCAGCATACAGTTCAAAGCAGTGCGGTTTGTTCCTGTCCTGCACCTCTCTGACCTGAATATTTTCCAGTGGAATGATCCCTCGTGGCTCTTTGTCAGTTGTATACTCGAAGTAATACAGACAATTATCGTTTAGAATGAACCACCGTCTCTTCCAACTCTTGTAACGTCCACCTGAAACAATGCGATGGCAAGGAAAAAAAATAGAATTCCCCCCCATTAGTACTCATTGCATAATAGGGAAAACATGGGGCTAATTATTTACCTGCTGTCTCCGACGAGGGCAGCAGTGGGATAAAGCGATTTATAAGATCAATTTGATACTTATAATACTTGATTTCTTTTCTAGTGCACAACCAGAGACGATCTAACAGGGGATAATGAGCGAGGATTGCTGGGGAAAACTTTTCTATTCTAGTTGTTCCATCCAAGCAAATAATAAAGAGGAAACCATGCGAAAGGAATTTTTTATTCTCGTTTTCCACGAGAAATGTTGGATTTTTCCTGCGACATGACGCGAAGGGATTCACAGTCATTTCAAAATGAGTGTAACACAAGTGAAATTCATCGACAGACAGAATTTTTGGGATGCATTACGGAAATTTCAGCTGTTCTCTATTATCAAAACACGAGTGGTCCCTTTTTATGTAGAAGTTTGTGGAGAATGGAGACCTAAATTATCTAGGATAATCGCTGATATGTGTAGCGTACTAGGTATACTATATTTATAAGTAGAACGGCGCAGACTATGGGTACTATACTCATAATAAGCTAGGGCCTAGGTTATATATATCATCGAGTAAGTGGACGGAGCAGAGACTTCAAAAAATGTGACACTGGATTTTTTTTAGAGTGGAATGTCAACTGCCATTTGTGGAGGTGGGGGAATGCGAGTAAAAACTATTGACGGTGAAGTTTTCGTTTGATTTAAATGGATTTAAGTTTATTTTCTACGTTAGAAAAATCAACATTTAAATTTTTTTGGAATTTCAAGGAATTTTGTCAGTAAAAAGTCAAAATTTTGCGAAAAAATCGATCAAGAATGTGAATTTTAGGTCAATGATTCCATTTCAGTACTTAATATTCATGTTTTAATTGAAAATTCAAGTAAATTGGGAATTCTCCTGTCTTGCTGCTCAAAAATTTGAAATTTCATTGAATTTCATGATTTTTTTCTCTTAAATCGAATTAAATGTCGCTATCATGAAAACTATTAGTCAAATGTCCATGAAATATCTAGTTTTTTTCTCGCAGTGTATTCTCACGACTTCTCCATTGTTTTTGTGATTTTTATAAAACAAATTGTGTTGATTTAGTCGATAAATGCAATTGTATTTGAATTTAAAGTCAATTTCTTCGAAATCAATGAAATGGTGGGAACTGTTCGACTTCAGAAATCAGGAAAATGTGTCAGGTGAATGTATTCTTGACTCTTCAATTAATTGTAAATTCAAATAAACTAACGAATTCTCGTTTTCCTGCTGTAAAAAAATTACAAATTCCACTGAAGTTCCAATGAAATCTGAAATTTCTCGATATTTTCCCACAACGTCTCCATTGTTGTAACAATATACAGAACAAATTCTGCCAATTCAACCGATAAATTCAATTGTGTTACGATTTTGAAGCTCGTGACACTAAAAAAAGGCTGAAAAATTCATTTCTTCGAAATTAATTTAATGGCTGGGGCTCTTCCACTTGAACATCTTCCACAGAAAGCGCAAAATATCGGTAAATAAGTGCTGAAATGAATGCCCAAATCACTCAGAACACCGATACCGACATAAAAAATCTCAACTTTAATTTTACCTTGCTTCCAGAGCCAACCTTCCTTGTCAGGGTTGAAGAACGTGTGCATCAGGTCGTTGCCATCGTCCTCCGGTATTTTGAATGGCTCTGTTTTTATACTCTCGTATAGACTCTGCACACAACCAAAAGACATTCATTAGGCTTGCGTAATCCGTTTTCGATGATGGTACAAGGAAAATGGATTGATTGCACAACAATACATGCGTCAATGCCACGTGATTATCGAATAGCCGATGCGACGGTGTGCATCCTTTGGAAAATTATGACATAAAAACGTAATTAAGGAATCAGTGGAATAGAAAAAATCCGCCGAGATGTTGAACGCACAGAAATTTTCAGAGAGAATGAAAGCAAAAGAATTTGCAAAATTCGGGGGATTAATGAGTGAGTGCTCTTGCAAAATTTGTTTGTGAGTTCAACAGTCATTTTTTCGAGTTTAAATAATCAAACTTGAGAGATAACTGACCTTTAAAATGAGAAAAATAAAGTTATCTGAGAGAAATGAGGAGAATGCACGTGGAGAGTAAATATTTTTGAGAAATATTCAACATGAAATTTTTTTAATTAATTTATTCATTAATGAGAGGAGAATTTGAAAATAAAATGGAGTTGAAGTAAAATCCAGGGACAGGTGATACAGAATGAAGACAAAATGAGACATTTCTTGGACGTCCAATAGATGAACATTACCGTAAAATTTAGTATTTCAACTTCAAGCTTCAAATCAACAAAATTGAAAGAAAAAAAATCGTCATTCAATGGATTTTTTTATTTAATCCATTAAAATGTCATTAAATGACACTAAAAGGTATCAGTCACCTAATTTGACTCCAAATTACTGAACATTTTGCAAAGGAATTGAATTAGTCATTTTAAAATGGTAGAAATCATTTAGAAAATGTAAAAAAAAGGATAACGTCGATTTTTTGCGGAGAATTCATAAAATAATTGAAAAATTGCAATTTTTGAGATTACATTTCTTCATTAATTTATTCAGTAATGAGCGGAGAATTTGCCAATGAAATAAAGCTGAAGGAGAAACCGGGTTCAGATTAGCCCAGACTGAAGATAAACATTTATCTCCCAATTCAATAATTGCACTTCAAACTTCAATCAACCAAATTAAAAAAAAAATCACGATAGAACGGAATTGTTAATTAATCAATTTCCAGATACGTCCAATGAAGCGTCCTCAATCCATCAAATTACTCTGAATCCAATGAAAATAACAAGATATACTCACAACTAATAATTCACGTGGTAAATCTCCCCCGTTATTGATACCTCGATTCATCGTAATGAACTGTTCGACACTGGGTTTGTCCTTGACACTTGGATTATGCAACGACGTGTTGAGCATTATAATCGCAAAACTAAGAACATAACAGGTATCGGTATTGGTGAAGATATTTGGATTGAGTTGACAGTAGCGCTGGGCAAAACACTCCATCATTCTGTCGATTTTTTGCGCCTCCCCGGGCAATCTGAATGACCACAGAAATTGTCGCAATGCCTGAACGAGTATGAGATCAGTAAAGTCGTGCAATTCGACGAAGGCACGAAGTACACGCTCGTTGAAATCATGCCTCTCACCGAGGTAATCACCGATGGCTGTTTTATTCAGTCCCTCACCCTTGTACAAAAATTGGGCAACATCTTCTGGTGTTGGGGCTAATAGATTGTGCTGTATCAGGTACTCAATTCCCTTTTTAGGGTCCATATTGAATTTTTTACGACCAATGGACGTTTGTTTGGCTTTGTTCGAGGGCTTGGAGTCGTCCGGGGCGAGACCTCCACCCTCCATCGACTCCATCTCTGCCACAACCTCGCCGAGTTCATCTTTTAATTGCTGAAATTCAATATTATGAGCTAAATTAAATTAATTGCCTTAGTTATTAGGGGAGTGGGTAAAACCCACTGTTTAATCCGCAATAACTCGAGAACCGCGGAGTGGAATGTCCCGATTTTCTTTTCATTTTGAAGGCATTTTTTCTAGCTTTAAAAGGAGACGAGACTCATCCAAATCGCATCGTTTGTTCCGGAGATATCGGGGATTGAATGCGAACTCTTAATTAACGATTTCGCAAAAACTTTTTTAATTGCATTATTATGTCATTTGAGTTTCTCAAATTTAAAAAAAAAATATGGTTATATTTTTAATCATATCTTCGTGGCTAACACTGGAAGAATGATTTAACTGCTGAAATTAAAGAATGCTATTCAAATTCATGACATCAATTAAGAATTCTAATGAAGGAGAATTGATGAAACTGTCTTCAGTAGTAAATAAGTCGGCAACTTCCCGATTTTTTTTTCATTTTCAAGGTGAATTTTCAAGTTTCAAAATGAGATCTGACTCATCATCCAGTTGCATCACTTGTTCCGGAGATATCGACGACTGAATACAAATTCTTCATTAAGAATTTCGCAATATCATCGTAAAGAAATTGTTTCGCAAAAACTTTCCTCTTTGCACTTCTACACTGTTGAAATTTTTTGAAAATTAAGCAATAGTTGCACTTGACTTCTCAACGTTGTGAATTTAAATTTAATTTAAGATCAATCCTTCATGGAATCTCCCATTGAAGTTGGAAATTCAATGACATCTGCAATTTTCAAATTCACATTCAATTAAATTTTCTGTGGTTTGAAAATTCAGGGAAATTGTTGCTCAAATTTTCAAATTAATAATTTTCACTATCGCGTGGAGCTAAAAATTGTAATTCCATTGAATACTCCAGAATTCCCCTGATTTTTCACAACCAAAATAAATGAAAATTTCAACTGAATGAGTGATTGTTAAAAATTTCACCATTTCCTACTTGAAATTTCCGGAAAAATTTTCCAACAGTCTATTCATTGCAACAAATTTCTGAAATTAAAAAAATACGTACATAATATTTGCAATCCCACATCCGTGGATATCACGACGAGAATAGCAAGCCCCAATTACCTTCCCCAGACACACGTTTTTCTTCGCAATTAAAAAATTCAGAACGTGAGAAAGCCATTCGATTTAATCCCACTGAATCCTCATTCCCCGCAAGAGATAATAATAATGAATAAATAAACACCCCACACGGCAGTGTCGCCCCGTTTCGCACGCAACTGATGTCGTGAGGGGTAAATTCGCCGGGGGAATGTGTAATTTTCCTATATTTTTGCATATGTAAATGCACAAATGGACACGAGGGGAAAAGGAAAGACTGACCGGATGTAAACCCTTGTATTTCTCGGTAAAGCAGAACCCTCCCGCAATTATCCGGCTCCACCGCAGGACGTTCACTTCTATTTTTAGACGCAATATTGAGGAAAGGACAGTTGACGGCACAGGTCAGGGGAAATTCTTGAATTTCCCGTTGAACCGTACCATTTTCAACATTCACCACGGCTGCACCTACTCCTCCATTCCTCAAAACGCATGAGAACCATGAATGGAGGAATTTCATATCTCAAAGAGACATTCAGCCGTTTTGTGGTACAACATCCGTGGAGAATAAATGCGAAAGAATTTTCAAACGTTTCAGTCGACGTATCATGGGAGCGGAAGTGGCTCTTCCCGCTAACGAGGGCGCGTATACAACACACGCGAGAATTGTAAAGACGATAACCAAGTGGACAACCTCGCTTATTCATATTCATTTTCGAAACAATAGGGATATTTTTTTTTTTCTCCTTGTCCGACTGTTTATGTGAAAAACTTTATAAATTCCATTTTTATCAAGAACTGAGTCCATTTTGTTACTTGTAAGACTCTCTGGACTGTTTAAATTTTTTGGCTGAAATTCCAATTTCTGTTGTATTATAGTTTTACTGAAATTTCAAAGAATTTCGGGATCGATGGAAAATGTGAATTTCTGTTCAATTGTTACATTGAAATTAATACAGATCAGAAAAATTCAAGTGAATATTCTGTTGAATTTTCTGTGTATGGAAATTTCCACGTAATTTGATTCGGAATATTCATATTTAGATTTAAATTTCAAGTAAAGTGGAGAATTTTCATATTTCTACTGCTCAAAAATTTGGGATTTCATTGAATTTTCAGTACTAAAATGTCAAAAAATTTCGTTGTCGATGGAAAATGTGAATTTCAGTTCAATTATTCGATTAAAATTAATGTAGATCAGGGAAATTGAAGTGAATATTCTCATCAATTTTCTGTTAATTGACATTTCCGCGTAATTCAGTACTGAATATTCATGTTAAGATGAAAAATTCAGGTAAAGGGGGGAATTATGGTTTCGGGGGAATGCATATTTTCATTGACTTTCCAGTGAAATCTAAAATTCCACGATGTCTCCCCCCCCCCCATCGAATTCAATGTTCCTCTCCTAAAAATTACAAGTCAACTGTCCCTGAAATTTCAATTTTTTATCAAAATATTCTCTCCTAACAAAATTTTCTGAATTTTCTTCCACCTTATTCAACCAATCATGTCAATCGATTCATAAATTCAACGAAAAACCCCAGAAATTGCATTTTCATACATTTTACTAACAATCAATTCGATAATTTCTTGGCAATAAAAATAGTAGGAAACATCTCTAAAATGCTCATTCGAGCGATCCCTCAGTACCGTCCACCCAATAAGAATATTCCAGAACAAAATAGAACCATCATTTACACTAATGGCTGATAATCCACTGCGGATGAATTGAAGAGACACGAAATCGGTGCCAATAGGAGATATTTTTGGTAGATTGCCACCGGGTCGAGTGCGCAAGGGGCAGAGCGCTTGGATGACTGTAAAAATAGCAGGGGTACTGCTGCGATCGGTTCCTAACTGAAAAAAATGCTGGTTCAATCGTTATGTTCAGGCCTTATTCATCTTTTTTTTCCAGAAAGATTGTCAAAATTTTCAACTGTTGAAACATTTTTCGTTCAACATTTTTGCGATTATTGCCACACTTTTAATGTTTAAAACGGCTACTTATTTGTTTTTCTTTGTTCATGCTTGTTCTGTTGTGTCTCATTGTCTGCAAATACGATACGAAAAAAACAACATTAATTATCATTGCTTTTCAAGATTTGTGTTCATCCTTCGAACCACTGCGACTGGCTCTTCATCATCCGCAAAAAACGTGAGTACACATATTTTTTTCAACCACTTCACGTCGGTTGAACCGTCATATGCGGATGTCTTTCGAGAATTGACGATGACCATTCCAATAACGTGAGTCACGACAGCATTCGCCGTGAGGTTAAAGTCAAATTGGTAAATATTTCTCTGTCATTCTCCAGTTGCTTTCCTCATTCTGTCACAATTTCAAGAATGAGCAGGATAATCGTTGCGAAAATTGTCTGTTCTCCAGTACGAATTGGAAATTGATACGACCGTCGTCACCGCACGGAGAGAAATGTTCAGTAAAAATTACGGAACTCACGGTTCGCTCACCGATTGCGGAATCGACCCAGAAAATTTAAGTGACGGTTTCGTAATTTTTCACAGGAAATTCAGGGAGAAATTACGGAATGCTCTGGAAAAATTCCGTGTTTTTAGATAAAAATTACGTGAAAGTTCCGTAAAAGTTCCTACAACCACACAGAAAAAAAAAAATACTTGAATTGCGTATAAAGTATACTTGATTCAAGTATATTTTACACTCAATTCAAGTATATTTATTTCCGCGCATTGCGCTCCGGAATTCCGGAAAGAATACGTAATTTTTATTGAAATTTCCCTCCGCGCACCGAAGAACGTGTGGAAATTGTTGGAAATTTCAAAAGTAACTGCCCGAATGGACATTCCACTCGACTGTGTCAACGAAAAATCAGTGCGGCTCAATCACAAACAGCCCGAAGCGACCGTCAAACACTTTCAAAATAAAATGAATGTCAAATTTAGCCGGTGGTATGTTAAACCCGTTTGCATTATCATAATCATCAAGGCCACTGTGGTTTTGGAATCCAGCCAAACATGTCGCGACGTCCTCGAAAATCCTTGGTGTAGTGAAGAAAGAGAGGGGAAAAAAATCGAAAGAGAAACTTGGAGAAAAATAAAACATTGGAATAACAATACCAAGAGAGATTGGCAGATCTCCAGGAGATCTGCATTTACGTTTGCCAATTAACGGAGAAGTGGAGTAGTAATAAAAGGAAAAGAGAAACTAGATCAAACTATGAAATCCACGTGTCGACGAAAATGACGCATTCACAATAGTTTACAATTTTTCTATTCGGTTCAGCGATATTTACTGGCGGAAATTCATCAACTCGTGTATTTATTGCGGTGAAAGAATTCGCTCTTTCGGGGTCGGAGCAATTATGTTTTTAAACTAATAAAGTCTAGAAAAGGTTCGTTAGAACTGAGAAAACTAGTCGGCTGATTCAAATAAAGCATTTGTCTGGGTGACTGATACATCATGATAATTTCCCTAGATACCCATTAATGTAGAACACGAGTCATAGAAGGAAAAAAGAACAGATAAACTGTGGAATGCACGTGTCGATAAGCCTCTCGCACTCAGAGAAATAACGCAATTGAATCTAATGAAACTATTTGAAATTTTTGTATTCATTTCAATAATATTTTCGTTGGGCATCAGAACTCGTGTATTTATTTCAAGGAAAATGTCTCAGTCGTGTAAAATATATATCACTGACACTGTTTATTTGACATTTTTCTATTTATTTCAATAATATTTTCGTTGGGGACCAAACTTGTATTTATTTCCAGGGAAATGCTTCAGTCGTGTGAAGGAAATTCTAGTAAATTCGTTCGTTTCACCGTTTAAATAATTATTTCATCCCTAATTATTAAAGTCTTTATTTGGCTCAAGGAAACTTTTGTTTATAGACAAGCAACGAATTTTTTTATTCAAATAAGTCATTTCTCCGGGTAATTTCAATGCATCATTCTTCACCATTCCCCCAGATAACAGACATTAAATCGAAATAGAATCCGTCATGAATCAATCACATACTTTATTAGCATTATCATTTAGTACAGAGAGAAATGAGTACGAAATCCACGTGTCGACGAGCCTCTCAGACTCGGAGAAATACCGCAATTGAATCAAACAAAATTCGTTGTCTAAAATTTTTCTATTTATTTCATCATCATTTCACCGGGATGATAGACATGAAATCGAAGTGGAATCCGTCATGAATCAATCACGTACTTTATTAGTGTTATTGTCATCACGCCGTGTCGCAATGCACGTGTCGCAATTGAATAAAATAAAACTCTTTATTTCAAATTTTTGAATTCATTTTAATGAAAATACTTCAGTCATATGAAATAAATTTACAATTTCCTCCTAATAAATTCGTTCTCCTCGCGGTTGAAACAATGATTTCATCTTTAACTGTCAAAGTCTTCATTAGGATCAAGAAAACTTTTTTTACCCAAAAAAACTAGTTTTTTTATTCAAATAAATCATTTCCCCGATAATTTCCGTACATCATCGCGAAGTAGAATCAATTGCATAATTTATTTGTGTTATTTGATAATTGTTGTTGGCATGAGACAGCAATGGGAATGACTACGAAATGCCGCAATTGAATAAAATAAAACTCTTCATTTGAAATTTTTGGATTCATTTGAATAAAAATGTTTCACTCATATGAAATAAATCTTCAATCTCCTCCTAATAAATTCGTTCTCCTCGCGGTTGAAACAATGATTTCATCTTTAACTGTCAAAGTCTTCATTAGGATCAAGAAAATTTTTGTTTACACAAAAGAAACAATTTTTTTAAATTCAAATAAATCATTTCCCCGATAATTTCAGTACATCATTCTGAAATAGAATCCGTCATGAATCAATCGCATAATTTATTTGTGTTATTTGATAATTGTTGTTGGCATGAGACAGCAATGGGAATGACTACGAAATGCCGCAATTGAATAAAATAAAACTCTTCATTTGAAATTTTTGGATTCATTTGAATAAAAATGTTTCACTCATATGAAATAAATCTTCAATCTCCTCCTAATAAATTCGTTCTCCTCGCGGTTGAAACAATGATTTCATCTTTAACTGTCAAAGTCTTCATTAGGATCAAGAAAACTTTTTTTACCCAAAAAAACTAGTTTTTTTATTCAAATAAATCATTTCCCCGATAATTTCCGTACATCATCGCGAAGTAGAATCAATTGCATAATTTATTTGTGTTATTTGATAATTGTTGTTGGCATGAGACAGCAATGGGAATGACTACGAAATGCCGCAATTGAATAAAATAAAACTCTTCATTTAAAATTTTTGGATTCATTTGAATAAAAATGTTTCACTCATATGAAATAAATCTTCAATTTCCTCCTAATAAATTCGTTCTCCTCGCGGTTGAAACAATGATTTCATCTTTAACTGTCAAAGTCTTCATTAGGATCAAGAAAATTTTTGTTTACACAAAAGAAACAATTTTTTTAAATTCAAATAAATCATTTCCCCGATAATTTCAGTACATCATTCTGAAATAGAATCCGTCATGAATCAATCAATAATTTATTAATGTTATTATCATCACTGTTGTTGGCGTCAGACAGTAGTGGAGACGAGTACCGAGCAAACAATGAAGATGGTATTATCGCTGGTGATAACTTCATCCGAGGCTTCTGCCAGCACAACTGGGACGCGATTACGTAGATTGTTACGAACGAATGGCCATTTATCTGCGTGTAATGCTCCTAACCAGAATTATTGACGGAAAATCGTTAATTCAACACATGGAGAGTGAATGTTCAGGAAAAATTACGGAACCGACAGTTCGCTCAGAAAATTTAAGTGACTGTATCACAATTTTTCACTGGAGATTCGGATAAAAATTACGCAACGCCCTGGAAAAATGCCGTGATTTTAGGTAAAAATTACGTGACAGTTCCGTCAAATTTCCTACGGAAAAAATAAGTAATTTTTATTGAATATTTCTCTCCATTTATTCCATTATTCTCCGCAGAATATCGTGCGAACAAATCAACCGATCGAACTGCGATTGTCCGAGCGCCTTTCCATTACCATTTGTTTACCATTTTCATTCATGACGTCAGCCCATGACTAATGTTGAGCAAACGAGGGACTGATTGCTCGTGCATTTGACGGAAAATATCGCGGCGAAAAATCGCACTGCCAATTTGTATTTCTGAGATTACGAAAAACTTACAGTGGAGATTGTTGTCAAATCCCAGGCACTTTTAACAGGTTTTTGTGCCGCTTTTTTACCCTTTTTACCGGGTCTACGTAAACTTGAAAACCACCCAGTGGCAATGGCAATTGCATTTGAGTCGCGTCGCTCATCGCGAACTTGATCTAGTGCATCGACTGATCTACCAGTAAAAATCATTCTTGGTCCGTTTTAACGGACCGCGTGAGGTCAATTAAGCTAAATAAATTATTAAAAAATCACTCGATGTCTCATTTCCCGTCCCACTGAGGCACTTTTGTTCACTCATCGTATTTACAAATTTTTTAGAATTTCAATCGTGCACAGCGCGAGAGAAATAACATTGGATTGTTCAATGTTCTTGACACTTGGCGGGGAGAATTGGAAACCGCGCGAGTCGGCGGGCAACTGAGGCGCGAGCCACCGCGTGAGTCTTAGCATATCGGGGAATTTTTACTTGGCGCGATGAGAGATCGCTGGTGGACAGTGGATTTTCCAGGGAATAGGCCGACAGCGACGTCTGACGGGGCGCTGAGAACTCCCGAGAGGCATTCGATTTTCAAATAATATGCAGTTGGCTAATATTTGATGGGTACACATTTGTGGGGGCATAACTGTGTGCGCAGGGGGTATCGTATGAAAGGGGTGACCGGGGGGGGAGGGAATTCTAGACGACTGCCGTGTGAAATTGATTTTGGGTCGGGAGGAAGACCCATGGAGGTGAAAAATTTTGAGGGGAGTTTTTGAGGGAGGAAAATGTGGGAGAATTTTTCGTCACATTTTTCTTTGTATATTTTAATTGATTGATTTATTTTTGTTTTGGTTTTTTATTTTATGTGCGTTTTTGTAGCATTTTTTAACTTCCCGATAGGGAAAGCCTCTTTTTTTAGCTTTGTCGGAATTTCAAAGAATTTTGGTTTTGAAAATTCACGATTTAATGAGTAAATGAATGAAAACTGATTTCAGGTGAATTATTCCAAGAAAATTAATGGGAATCAGAAATATTGAGGTGAATTAATTATTGTATTTTCCATTAACTGAAAATACATTGTAATTTGGTAATGAATATCCACGCTCTTGAAATTTCGTCGACAACTATTTCTTCCATATTTGAAGAAATAGTCCATTGCATTTATGAATTTATTTAAATTTATTTGATTTTTTTTGTTTCTTTTAACTATTTTTTAAGCTATTACTTCCATAACTGAAATGAAAGAAATAGTCCATTCCAATTACGGAAGAAATAGTCACCAAAAAATAATGATGCAACTTCAGAGAAAAATTGTTGATTTGTGTGCAAATGTATCTTTTGATACCTTTTGATTACGTTTTTTTCGGTGGCAGAACCAGCAGAAGAATGAGCACATTAAACTAATGGTATTTGCTATTCTTGCGATGAATCACCTATCCAAACAGTGGGAGACAACTAACTGAAATACAGACGATACGAATGATGGGAATCGTGAATGAAAAGGGGGAGCACGAATAATATTTACTCTGTCAAAGCGAAATATAAATCTGTGGTCATTAATTGTAGAACCCAACTAGTGAATCGTAATTTCATTGTGACTTTCATCAATCGAGCATTAATGTCCATTAATTAAATTTCCCTTAAAATTTTCCCCAGAACCACTCATTACCGACGTCATTCAATATTTAACAAACCGTCAACAGTGATTTCTTCTCGTTAAGCCCACACTTTATGTGCGAAAATATTTAACGAGAATTGAATCTCCAGCAGAAAGTGTCTCATGTTATTTCTCCCAAAATTTCTCATTTTCGAGATAACGACATCATCAATGAAAATGTCTTGAGCATATGAATAATGTTGGCATAAATAAAATTGCGACAGAGAATTCCCCCCTATGCAAAAAGAATTATCACTCAAGCAAACATCTCCGCAAATATTTCCTCAAAATAACTCGTTATCAAGACGATTCAATATTTGGCAAACCGTAAAAAAATGTTTGTTTCCGTTAGACGCAGATGTCACATTCGAAAACGTTTTATGAATGCATAAAGAGATACAATTCCCGCAACGATGACTAAGTGTATCCCCTATCAAAATCGTGGCGGACGTCAGCGTTATCATTTGACGCCAGCCCCTGTTATTTTTCTCTCCTCTTTTTCTCAGTTCACAAAAAATTCTTCGCTAGAAACACAAGCCCCCTTCAGAATCTCTTTTTACCGGTTCCCCCGAAGGTAACTGTCGAGACGGGAACAGGAAATATGCCCGCTGCACCTGCCCAACACCGAATGAAGAACGAAAACAATTAATGTCGTGGGCCGGAAGAGTCTACCAACGATTATGGAAATAATCACTCGCGAACGCGCTTCAGAGGTCTCTTATCGTCTTTGCCTTTCCTCTGATTCACAGATGACGAATCGACAGCGCAGAGTTGTTCCAGACGATTTTACTGAATTTATCATGCGATGCGAATTTTAAAAAAGTAAAAAACACATTTCGTAATTATCAATTCATTCATCAGAGGTTCGTTATTTAAAGAGTAAAATTCTGGGGAATTCAAGGATAAAATTATTTCTAGAATATCATCGTGAGGCATATTCGTCCACACCTATTCATAATATTCAAGTTTATATTAACGAATGAATAAAAAGGAAAAGGTAATTGTAAACGGAATAATTCAATTAAAAATGAATTTCTCCCATTGCGATTTAGCTGTGATTATTAATTTCGTTTTAACTTTATGGAATTAAATAACAATATTATTTTTCGAACATGAACATGAACAGATTCGTCCCCAACTGTTCACAACATTCAAGTTCATATCAACGAACAAATTAAAAGGAAAAGGCAATTGTAACCGAAATAATCGAATTAAAAATGACTCCGCACATTACCTGTATTTCAAGTAACAGTTCAGTCTTCTTTCTTCGAATATCAATCAAGATTTTCTGCTGCTCAGGAGTTAATTCTGCAAAAAAATACACAAGCACATGGCGATTAATAGACACCCAGAGGCATTACACGGAGGCGGGCGATTGGAGTCAATTCAGTGTGAAGATCTAAAAATAAGTTTCCATCCATTAACGGAACTACAGCTACCCTCTCACGGTTGGAAATAAATGAATGAAGTGCGAGGGAAAAAATATCCTGTTGTTTTATGCACCGTAATGGCATAATCATATTCATGCAATGCACCGCACTACCGCAGGATTTTCTTCCTTCACCTGTCGGGAAGTTACGTAATTGCGAGGAGGGAATAACCCCTCTTCCTCGAACAGCCACGAGGAAATTGCGCGAGGGGTAAACCGCATGCTTCCTCGAAGAACATTCGTCAGAATGAACGCATCAATTTCGCGTATTGATTCTTCAATATTTTTGATTAATCAATTATCTCCGGTGCGTTTCATCGAACCACGAAATACGAAAGCGTCGGGGAAAAATCCATACGAGGGAATAAACAAAAGGGAGGATGCTTGTCATATTTATTGACCCGAATTGGACCCTATGTGAGCATTCTATAAATTTATTCAAGGGATAAATTACTGTTCCAGATTCTTCAGTCGATAAAGCAGACGCTGTCCGAGGGTTTCGGTGCGCCAGTTGCATTACAGTGGTAGACATTTTTTGAAAATTAAACAATTGCACTTGAGTTCAATATTGTGAATTTGAATGCAATTTAAGATTAAGTCATAATTGATATTTTGAATTTTTTCATTCGTTGCGGAAATGGAACATCACATCCAACTGAATTTTTAGTGGATTGAAAAGTCAGGGAAATTGTTGCTTGAATTATTTAGTCATTTTCTAATGAACATGATAATTCTTGTGGAGTTGAAAATTGCAATTCCATAACATTTAGAATTTTTTAAGGCATTGCGGAAATTGAACATCGCATCCAACTGAATTTTTAGTGGATTGAAAAGTCAGGGAAATTGTTGCTTGAATTATTTAGTCATTTTCTAATGAACATGATAATTCTTGTGGAGTTGAAAATTGCAATTCCATAACATTTAGAATTTTTTAAGGCATTGCGGAAATTGAACATCGCATCCAACTGAATTTTTAGTGGATTGAAAAGTCCGGGAAATTGTTGCTTGAATTTTCAAATTATTTAGTCATTTTCATTATCATGTGGACCTGAAAATTGCAATTCCATGACATTTAGAATTTTTTAATTCATTGCGGAAGTTGAACATCACATCCAACTAAATTTTTAGTGAATTGAAAATTCAGGGACATTGTTGCTTGAATTTTTAAATTATTTAGTCATTTTCATTATCATGTGGGCCGGAAAATTGCGATTCCATGACATTTAGAATTTTTTAATAGGGTAGTCAACTTGTTTACAATTTAATTAGGGGATTCTAACACGTTGCTCCTTCCACCCAGGAGTCCAATTAGAATTTTTCAAAGACGAAGGAGTGAATGAAGGGACGATTTCGATTTTCCGAGGGGAAAGGAGGTCTGGGAACTTTTTGGAGCGGAAATCTGCGAATGTTTTGGTGCAATTAGTGGCTCACGCAGGCGAACGCAACGGGAAAATTCAGTATTGATCAGGGAACGGAAAAAAATGAATGCAACAATGAGGGAATTGAGCAGAAGGTTAATCACATATTTCCTCGAAGAACATTTGTCATAATAAACGCGTAAATTTCTTCCATAGATTCTGCGCTATTTTTCATTAATCATTCATCTCCGGTTTATTCCTCCAAATCCCGAAAGCACCAGGGAAAAATCCATACGAGGGAGTAAACAAAAGTATTTGTCATCTATTGACTCGAATTAGACCCCATGTGAGCATTCTAAATTTATTCAAGGGATAAATTACTGTCCCAGATTTATCCGTCGATAAAGCAGACGCTATCGGAGGGTTTCGATGCTCCAGTTGTGCTCGTCAACTTGTTTACAATTTAATTAGGGGATTCTTCCACGGTATTCCTTCCCCCCAGGAGTCCAATTAGAATTTCTGAATGACGAAGGAGAGAATGAAGGGACGATTTCGATTTTCCGAAGGGAGAGGAGGTCTGGGGACCTTTTGGAGCGGAAATCTGCGAATGTTTTGGTGCAATTAGTGGCTCATGCAGGGGAACGCAACGAGAAAATTTAGCTTTAATCAGGGAATGGGAAAAAGAATGCAACAATGAACGCGGAGTCATTCACTGATAACTGTTTGTGTTGGGTGACAACAATTTTTGTTGACGTGAGCGAAATAGAAATTAGGACATACCTGTGGTGCCAAACTGGTCGACCTGCTGTACTCCAGGATTGACTGTTGTGGCAGTCAGGCCGTCCAGGTCCTGCCACATTTCCAATGATGTCACAAATTTTCCCAGCACTGCACACTTTATTTAACACCCAACACAACACCAAACCACCTCAGCCGAGCGCCGCCATTTTCAACTGTGTCTACTACCGTCACTCCTTCATTCTTTTTTTTTCTCCCCCTGTTCGCCCCCCTGTGGCCTTCACTCGTGTTCTCTTCCGTGTGCGATCACCTTTTCGAGAGAGGTAACCCGTGCGGGAACACGATGGGTGCAGCCATCTTGCGGAGTGTGGCGGTGGCTCCTTTGACAGGAGAATGGAGAGGGATGCATTTTGAATTTTTACAACAATTCGGTTGAGGGTGATTTTTCACCATTTTTATGAAATGAAACTCTTTATTTTAGTTTTTTTCATTCGTTCTCATAATATTTTCATTCGGAATTGATAGACTGATTTATTTATTATTACTTATTGATTTCAGTGGAAATGTTTTAATTGTAGGAAATGGATAATTAATTCAATCAATTCGTTCTCTTCGTTATCTGAAAAATGATTTCAATTTGTGGTCCATAAAGGATTTATTTAAATCAAGAAAATATTTGCTTTTAGAGAAGGGTTCATTTTTTGTGAATAATAACGCTAATAAAAATCAATCTTAGTTATTTAATTCAAATAAAGTTTATGTAAATGGAATAGTCGTGATGTGAATTTTGAATTTTTACAACAATTCGGTTGAGGGTGATTTTTCACAATTTTTATGAAATGAAAATCTTTATTTTATTTTTTTTCATTCATTCTCATAATATTTTTATTCGGAATTGATGGACTGATTTATTTATTATTACTTATTGATTTCAGTGGAAATGTTTTAATTGTAGGAAATGGATAATTAATTCAATCAATTCGTTCTCTTCGTTATCTGAAAAATGATTTCAATTTGTGGTCCATAAAGGATTTATTTAAATCAAGAAAATATTTGCTTTTAGAGAAGGGTTCATTTTTTGTGAATAATAACGCTAATAAAAATCAATCTCATTCACATAATTAAAATAAAATTTATACAAATGAAACACTCAAGATATTTATCCAGTAAGCAGGCTGGCGGGGTAAAACAGGCCATCTGCAATCGAAAATTGTGCTATTTCGATGAGTAAGATCAACAAGAAAGCCCAGCGTTGATGAATGGCATTAATAATTGTAACAACAAAGACAGTGTTGCGCAACCACATCGTGTTGTCATTTCCAGTTAATTAATCATTGCACGGCTTGATCTTGCAGTTACTACCGTGCAATCTGGATGATTTTATAACAATTTCAGCGAAACACCATCTCTCTGTTGACATTACAAATAAATCGTGGACATTAATTTCAGCTCGAATTTTTTATTTTCTTCATTTTTTATTCCCCTTCATAGCCTGTTAATCTGTTCAATTGTGCTAGTCTAGCTAAGATCGTTCCCACATTTATTTCGACTTGACTTGTTTTATTCAGAGATCTGAAGTCGTTAAATCAAGTATCCACTAAATAAAAATAATTATTTCATGTTAATAATTTCATGTAAAATAATTATTATGAATATTACATTATGAGGACGAGATAAATATTATATTTATATTATTTTGTGTTTTTATGTAATTTGATGTTGCACAAAAATAATTTTTTTTATTGTAGGGGAGGGTAGGGTAAAACGGACACTTTTGACTTTTTTAAAAATATTCATAACTCAGAACCAGATTTATCAATTGAGCTCAGTCTAAGCTCATCACAAAGAGGAATCATTGTTTTTCAATTGAAAGATAAAATGATTCCATTTCATGAACAATTCGACGTCATGAATATTTCAAAAAAAGTCAAGTGTCCGTCTTACCCTACCCTCCCCTAACGAAATTAATTATTTTATGTGACTAATTTTAAAAAAGTAATTACTTAATCTTTAGTTGAACAACTGGAGAAATCGCTAAAAAATTATTTTTCATCACGCTGTGATGAAAAATATTATGATGAAAAATATTGTTCGTAACTCGTGAAAAAATGTTTTTTAGCTCGTGGGATTATATCACTCGCCTTCGGCTCGTGATATAAACTTCCCACTCGCCAAAAAACACTTTTTTGCACTCGTTACGAAATATACTATTCCCATCTTTTCAAATCTAATCCTCAAAAAATATTAAATACCTATCGTACATCGAATTGCCGCGTTCGTTCCCGTATTTCCGATTAAAAAGCAGCACGCAACAGCTCAATACCCACATCTCCCGAAGAGATGTAACAGAATGGATGAAAGAATCTTCAAACCCCTATCACGAGTCCCCGACGCATGCGCAGCCCGCGTTTATCCCCCTCGGCCGGGGCAAAACGGAGGATGTAAACCGTATGTATAGGCCTTCCAGTAGAATCTTTCCCTTCGTTTTAGGAGTGGGAGACACGGATACAGGTGGGAATCACGTGGAGTGGGGGTACCCTGGGAAGGGAAAACTTCTGCTAGAACTATATTACACAGTATCATATTAGTCTGTAAAGAACTGTCTAGTTGAACATGCAGTCGAGACGTGCGCCGAGGGGGGCGTTTTCCCATTGCCAAAGAAAATACAAAACGGCTGTAAATAAATTCCAAAACTAATCCACCTTCATCGCTCGAATGCGCCGCAGTTATCGGACACGTCGACCCGAAATTCAACCCCCAACCGTGCCGAAAATGAAAGGGGGGAGCCGTTGAGTCAAAAATCAATAGGATGTGAATAAGTGTGGGACATTCAAACCTGTTTATCACCGAAATAGTGTAGAATATCATTATTTATATCATAGTTCTGATAAAATGTTAACGCTGTGCTCAAGGATAAGTATTACATTATGAAGAGGAGATTTGTCGATAAATTATCCATTCTACATATCAGAAGGGATATTCATTGTTGATATTTAATGCGAGTGGAGTGTTGATTGAGGGAATTGTTATGGAAAATTTTGCGTGATTGAATGACATTAATCATATCGCGGGGGTCTGGAAGATGTCGGATGGCATCCGCGAGGGGAGAGATTTCCTCGTGTCATTGAGGGGGGGAGTTGCAACTGCTGTGAGGAAAATGAGGAAGAGAGTTGTCGTGGGATGCTGCTTGGGTACACTACTCGGTATTTTTGTTTTTACCAGCAACAATGATCTGATACAGAGGATGACTCCGTTCTTTGTCACTCCGCCGGAGGATATTAGTTGTTATATTGAAGTATCGACGCCGGGCTCCGTAGAAACACTTCTTACTGCAGGTATTTTCGAGGGTATTCGGTTGTACGGAATTGAAGACTAGTTTTTAGGAGTTTAATCGTTGTTTCGTGTGTGACAAAATTTAAGAGAAAAGTCCACGGAATTCGACAGAATTTTGTTGGATTTATAGTGAATTTTCTATTTTTTTGGATAATTCTATTTAGATATATTCTATTGATATATTCAAATATATTACAATATATTTTAACATATTTAGATTTTTTTTTTTTATATTTTGATCTACAGAATATATTTAGATATATTCTATATTTCCTGTAGAATTCCTTCGGATGAAACGTTCTTTTTTTGTTTGATTTTCTTGATGAAAAGAAAAGAAGAATGGAATTATTGGAATGAATAGGAAAATTTCGAATGAAGAGTCTTATTCTTGATGTGTTTGATGTTATTGTTGGAGTATTTGGATTGAATTAATTGTTTATTTGATTTCAATATAGAATTTATTATGAAAGAATGAACATTTTCATTGAAAAATTGCGATTCGATGAAAAAATTAATGAAAGCTGTAAATTTTTATTCAATTGTTTGGTTCAAAAATTTCGGCTTAATTATAGTTTCGGAAAAATAAAGCAGTTAATTTGCAGTAAATCTGGGTATTTTTATTGACAACTCAAGGAAGTTGGGAAATTCTCGCTAATTACATTCAAATTTTTCAGTGAATTCCCAGTGAAATTCGAAATTTAATGTTTTGTTTCTCAACTGAAATTTAATTTCATGTTTTTTCAAATTAAATATTTATGAAATTTCAATTCTCTGCACCTTCCAGTTATTATTTATTTTCTACCCGTCGTTATTACATTTGTTATTTTATGTTATTCTCATTATTGGCTTCGGCTGTCGTATTCGTATTAAATAAATAAATAAATAGATAAATAAAGAAATGAATCATTGAATAAATAAATAAATGAAGCAATGAATAAATGAATAAATAAATGAATGAATGAATGAATAAATAAATTTTCCGAGAATTTGATTAAAAATCATTTTTCAGACGTGAAAAGTGCCCCAAAAGGCTCCAAAAATATATTTTTCCATGAAACATCCTGTTTTGGAGATGAGGGGATCACCCTCACCCCGAGACAAGCGTGTGCAGTGGAATCAGCGGCCAAAATGAACCCAACAATGCAAGTTTACTTGTTGGTGCTCAGTCACTCGAACTTCTCAGCGCCAACAAAAGAAACTGTTACCGTACTCTCGGCCTACAAGAACGTCAAGATCAGACGGATATTCATGGAGGAGTACGTGAAGAATACACCGCTGGAGGAGTGGTGGGTCTCGGGGATTCTCAGGACGAGCAAGTGGCCGAGAAGTCACATGTCCGATATCCTCAGGTATCTGACGCTCTGGAAATTCGGGGGAATCTATCTCGACCTGGACGTCGTCGTCACGACGTACGTATTTCAGTAATTTCTGGACGGAGAGAAATTTTCCAGAAAAATTCTAGTACGAGTACTGGAAAAAATCACAATCCACCGGCTGTGAAAAATTCTTGTGCCGTAACGTAAAATCTCTCGGGATTTCTGGTCAAATTTCTGGGGATTTCTGTGAAATTTCAACAGAAACACGGAAACACCGGAAATTTTATTGGGGAAAAATTTACGTTTTCTCCAATAAAATTTCGAATGTCAGCACTGGAATTTTTTCCTGGCCTCTTTCACTTTGCGCCTCTTATCCCGTGCTAGCACTAGATTTTTTCTAAAAAATGTCTCTCCGTGTGCTCTCAGTTATTCGCCATTCTGCTGAGTTTTATTTGCAATATAAATAGCGAAGGGGCATAAAAGTAAAAAGGCTCTTCGGGGTAGCCGGCCTTGTTTCCATGCACTTGTGACGCTTCGCTGTACAGACAGGAACGAAAAATGCATGAAAATTTCATGGACAGTCTATGTACTATTGATTTTTCCGGCCTTACGGTCAGTTCCCTGAATTACAGTATAAATTTCGATGAGTTTTTAATGATCGTACCCGGTGATGTGACCTCGATACACAAAAATTTAATTGGAATTGATTTAAAAAATGAACAACTAAATAAAAAAAATAGTAAAAATTTGAGAATGTCTATTGCTCAGTTATTTAAATGGGTATTCTAGGGATTTGTTAAATATAGGGAATGTAAATAAAGCTTTTCGTCATGATGAGTTTGAACTGCTGATTTTATTAATTTCATTATTATATTTTATGTCGGGTCTATAAGAAATAAAAACGAAAATTAAATGAAATTAGGAGCCGAGGGCATCGCCCCTAAAATTCTAGTCATTGCTCGTCGATTTTATTGTGAAATCGCGCAATTTTCAGCAGTTTTTATAAAAAATAAAAAGGTTAATTAGAAAAAAAATTGACTTTCATTATTTATTCAAATTTCTTGACATGAATTCTCTGGATTTTATTGAATATTCTTTTGACTTAATTAAGTAAATCGGAACACTTTTTTTTCTTTATGCAAAATATTTTCGATTGAATGAGCGGAAAAATTTCCGGAATTTCAATAGAGTTTCAATAAAAAATTGAATATTATTCCTATTTCCCCGCCATTTCTCCGTACCCTCTACTGGAAAATCGTCTGAATATCTAAAATAAGTAAATAGAAATGATGTTAAATTTATTAACAATAAATTTAACACCATTTCTGTTTGCTTGAAGGACTTAAATCATAATAAAAATTCATAAATAATAAACAATTGTTTATTATTCATGGACTTTCATTATGATTGAAGTCCTTTACTCGGCTCGACTACGAAGAAACAAAAAATGAGTGAATAATGAGAAATTGTTGATGTGTGCAGGTCATTAGAGAAATTCACGAATTTCGCGGGGGCAGAGGATTGGGAGGACGTGGCCGCTGGTGTTCTCGGATTCGGAACGACTGGTTTAGGCCGAAGGATCGCTGACGCTTGTTTGCGAGACCTGAAGAAGAACTTCCGGGGCAATGTGTGGGGAAACAATGGGCCAGGTGTCATTACAAGAACCCTCCAGAAATTGTGCGCCACTAAATACGTGAGTTGACGGGTAATCTCGGATATTCAGACCTCCGTGGCGCGAAAACTGAGAGTCGGTAGAGTAGAAAGTCGAGTTCTGACGATTACTACTTCGTGAGCCCATTAAATACTGTTATTTCCGTTGATAATTGACTTGTTTAGGAGTTAAAAAGTCGTTCATGACCACAATAATTTAATTTAACTGAAGTAAATTTGATATTTCTTCAGTATGGGTTTCCACTATTGTAGTCACATATCAAAGGGCCTCGGGAATTAAAAAATCAAAAACTTGAGATTAAACGATTACAAAATCGTTCAATCTCAAGTTTTCGATTTTTTTCATTCGGAAGCAAAAATAAAAAAAACATCGTATCGAATCCCTGCGGGCAATCGGGAACTCGATGAATTGAGGGAAAAATTTCGCACCACAACTCAATTTTCCCTTCCAAGAAAATACCATTTCAGTGAAATAAATGAGGAATATCGATTATTCCGTTCCCAAGGAACCAAACAAAACGGATAACAACACTCTGACATTCCAAACACAAACAAAGATTCGACCTAGATTCTGTTGACCGGATTGACGTGAAAAAATGTACCGTTGTTGTCCTTTATCATTACTTAACGAGTCACGAAATTTAGTAATCGTGCAATCATTTCCCGCGTTTTGTCTAAAACTTTTCAGAAATTCACAAGACGTTGGGAAAAGTGCAGGAAAATAATTGCAATACCATGAGTCCGTCAATAACGATTACTCGCAAAAACGGAATATTATTTCGTGTCAATCCGCTCAATAAATTGCCAGAAAAATGAAAAAAAAACGTGAATTTTGGCCGAAAGGGTGTAGTAGATTCTTAATCAACCTCTCGTGTGACGTTCGTTGTCCCCACAGGCTCGGGACATGACGCCCCACAGATGCCGTGGCTTCACAGTCTACCCGCCATCAGCATTCTACCCAATTCACTACAAAAAATGGAAGTTATATTTCGACGAGAAGGAGAAGAACTCAACGATGAGTATAATCCGCAGGGCATTAGCAATTCACGTCTGGAACAAGCTGAGCAGTTCCGAGATCATTTCACCCCCTAGTCAAGTGCCATACGCCCTTGTAGCCAGTGAATATTGTCCCAAGGTTTACACTCACTCTGGAAAACTGTTCTAAACTCACACGCGCGAAAAAATTTAATTAAAAAACCCATCGAATTCGTTAGAAAATTCTATTGAATTTCTATTAAACTTTCTATTAGTTTTTGGCTGATTCTATTGACACGTTCAATAGAAAACATTCGATAGAAAAAATCAACAGAATTCGATTTTTCTATATAACTTATTCTTTTCATATATTTTCTATAGAATTTGCTCGACTCAAATTTTCCAAGTTTTTTCATTATATTTTTCTTTTCTTCTCATCAAGAAAATCAAACGAAAGAACTTGGAAAATTTGAGTCGAGGAAATTCTATAGAAAATATCTCAATACAATAAGTTATATAGAAAAATTGAATTCTATTGACTTTTTCTACTGAATATTTTCTATTCAACATTTCAGTAGCGAAGCGGTAAACCGGATTAAGTCGATTTTGACTATTGGCCAGTTTTTGACGAATATCTCGGAATCTAAAAGAGATAGAAAAATTTTTGTTACAGCCGTTTTATAGCTCTTAATTGGTTCTACAAAAAAGGTCATGAGAAAAATTTTGCTATCTCTCTTAGGTTCTGAGATATTCATCAAAAACTGATCAAAAGTCAAAATCGACTTAACTCGGTTTACCGCTTCACTACTGATTTCAATGGAATCGGCCAAAAACTAATAGAAAGTTTAATAGAAATTCAATAGAATTTTCTAACGAATTCGATGGGTTTTTCTATTAAATTTTTTCGTCGTGCATCGTCAAGCTGAATATGACAACGCGACAGGGGATATTCACGTTTTGTACTCAATTCTAGCCGGAGATTGTTGGAGATAATATGCCCGCTCATCCAGTATTATTCATATCAGTGAGATAGATCACTTCTGTTGCATATGATTAAAAAACCCGAACAGTATTAGCATATCATGTCTGTAGACTACCGCCTGTTCATCGATCAGCTAGAGAATAAGTACAAACAATGCCAATGTTGACGTTATCAATCAAATCACCAGTATTTGTAAATTTCATTGCTCAATAATTACGTAGATATCCAACTGCAGAAGTGATTTCGTGTAGTTGCTCGTTACAATGTTTTCAAGGGTTCATATGCGTTCACATCCCTCATCTCGGATGACAGAATTTTTTAATAGAAAAACCTTGCGAATTGACTATTAACACATTCTTCAATTTGAGGAATCCCGATGACTTCAATTTTTTTTATTTCATGTGTCTTTTTTTCTGGCGTTAAAAAGGATTGGATTTCTATTGAAATGTTCAATAGAAAATATTCTATAGAAAAAGCCAAAAAAATTAGATTTTTCTGTACAATTTATTCTATTGAGATATTTTCTGTAGAATTTCCTCGGCTCAAATATTCCAATTTTTTAAAGTTGGTTTTCTTAATGAGAAGAAAAGAAAAATAGAATGAAAAAACTTACAATTAGAAAAAGTGAGTCGAGGAAATTCGACAGAAAATATCTGAAGAGAATAAGTTACATAGAACAATCGCATTCTATTGACTTTTTCTACTCAATAATAAACTAATAGAAATTTCAACAAAAGTCCAATAGAATTTTCAAACGCTAGGTTTTTCTATGAATTTTTTTCGTGCGTGCCATCGACGTAAATTAATTCTAAAAAATGTTCCCCTGGACAATCAAAAAAGTAACTGTACTTCAACACTCTGTTTTCTATCTTTATTCGGTCGCCATGCTGAGTACCAAAATTGTTGAATTTACCAATTAGTTGTTATCTATTGTTTATTCAAACATTTATTCTGACAATAGCGACGAATGGAAATTTTTAAAGAGGAATTAACAATGGGAGAAAGAAAACTCTCACGTATTGAGATAAGAAATATTTTTAAAAACTAGAGGAGAAATTTGGAAATCCCCAAGTTTGACACTTCGTCAAGTAATATGACGCGAACGTAATGGGGATTCATTGTGTGAGCGTCCTAATGAATGAGCATTTGTCATCTGCACTTCATGCTCGAGTCAATAGATTTGTTGCAGGGTGATGGATCACAACTCAATCCTCTATAATAAACGCTGCGCTCTGATGTTTTCCCACAACGCTCATTCCGACAATTGAATAATTTGTTGTAAAATTTACTGTGTAAACATTTTTGCCAACAGTGGAAGTGATTCAACGATAATAAATGGATTTTTTGTGATAAAATGACTGGACTATTTTTTTTCTAAAACTAGAATTTATCTGAATTTCATTTCATTTCAGGTTTAACTCTTACGATTGGAATTGCCAGTAGTTTTGTTCCCATTGGCTTCGTTAATTACCCCGGTGACGTTCCTCTGGAGATTAACGATTATTCCGTTAGCCCCCGGGCCAATTCCATTAATTTATTTTCTTTGAGCCATCGGAATCGGAAACTTTTCGGGAATCTTTCGTGGAAATCTAGATAAGGGTCGGTCTGACAGCTACTTAGAATTTATTCCCAGTCATTCAGTCATTCCGTCAATGTTCGATGCGTCTGATCAAAGAGAAGTGTTGACGACACACGCGTGTGGAGAAAAATAGTGGCCGGGGTATTTTAAATAATGGAAAAAGTCAAATTGAATTCTTCATCTTTATTCAATAAAAAATTGTTCTTGCTCCTGTTCCTCCTTAATTATTGGCTGAAATTTCCGGGAAACTATTGTTATGCCCCTAAAAGTGGAGCATAATTTCCCAATCATTCTGAAATATGGGCGAACGTAAGTATTTCAGAACGCACATATTTCAGAATCACAATATAGAATTAAGAAATATTAATCGATCGAGAATATACGTGCACTGAAAGCCACAAATATTCACATGGTGTTATCATAACACCGTGCCGGTATGAGGCAATGGCGAAGATGTCATGGCCTCTCGACGAAATAAATACTCGAGAGACCATTGTCGAGTACTTATTTTATTTCTTTTATTCCAAAAAATAGAACCCAACTCTAACACTGTTGAAACGTCGCGCGATGGCAATTTAATCAACGTCGTAATTATTTCTCCAATATTCCTTACTCTCCTATTATTAGTTCACGAAATTTTAAGAATTTCGATAGGTGGTGCTCGATCTAAAGAGATTTTCTTTCCGAAATGAATCCCATAATGACACCGTTAACGACACGATAGACATGTACAAGTCACAGTACTCGTTTACCCCAGGAACAATCAACGGAATCGCTCGCTGAAATGTTGTCTTCGATCAAAAGTGCAGTGACAAAAATTATGATGCAAAGAACGAGAGTAGTTATTGCGCTGGGAGTTTGTTTTTGTCTCGTACTGTTCTACATTGCTACTTCCACCGTTGGGGAAAATAACTCGACAATGAAGGAAATCCAACAATCTGTTGATCTACCGGAAGCTCTAGCTTACAAAGGGGAAGGATCCAGCCGAGAATTCCTGGAAATACTCCTAACAGCAGGTATTTCGTTCAAAGTAGCCCTCGCGCCCTTACGGCTCGAGTCATTGAGTGTTTCCACGAGAGAAAACTCCCAAAAATTGGGTTTGACTAATGATTTTCTAACATTTTTATTTATAAAAAAGAAAGCGGTCAATGAAGGGTGAAAAGAATTACGCTGAATTAAATTAACTAGGGTGTCGATATGAGTTCATCAATTTTAAACGCACGGAGAGAATTATTCAATAAAAATGACGTATCTTTTCCGTAATTCCGGAGCGAAATTTATGGTTCCTATTCTAAAAAGAACATACGCCGTAAGCTGTAGCGTGACGCTCATTCCTCGAATTTCATTGGTCGAACATTCGGATCCGCCCGCAAGTGTTCGACTTCGGTCGGCTTTCGGTTTTCGTGTCACGATTTGGCTTTAACACGCGCGCTCAAGCGCGCGATCGCTCTTGTGGGAAAAAGTAAAACCTGAAAAAAAATTTTTTTCACCGCGGGCCTAAGTGTCAGATCTTGGATTTTTTCAGGGGGAAAGTCGGTCAAAGGGCCACAAGGGTCACGACGGCCAGAGTGTCAGATCTTGGATTTTTCCAGGGGGAAAGTCGACTTTCGCCGAAATCGAATTTTTTAGCCGGGNCCTATTCTAAAAAGAATATACACTGTAAGCTGTAGCGTAACGCTCATTCCTCGAATTTCATTGGTCGAACATTCAGATCCGTCCGCACGATTTGTCTTTAACATGCGCGCTCAAGCGCGCGATCGTTCTCGTGTAGGAAATTTTTCGGAACTGTCACGGAATTTTTCCAGAGCATTCCATCATTTTTATCTGAATATCCTGTGAAAAATTACGATACCGTCACAATCGGTGAGCGAATTGTGAGTTCCGTAATTTTTACTGAACATTTCTCTCCGTGCGAAAATATCGTCGACAGATGGAAAAATTTAAAATATCCTTTCAGACGTGAAGGGAACCAACAACATATTTTTCCTGGAGACCTCCCCTTTCAGCAAAGAGGGTCTCTCCTTCACAGCGAGGCAGGCTTGNCGGCCAGAGTGTCAGATCTTGGATTTTTCCAGGGGGAAAGTCGACTTTCGCCGAAATNGGAAATTTTTCGGAACTGTCACGGAATTTTTCCAGAGCATTCCATCATTTTTATCTGAATATCCTGTGAAAAATTACGATACCGTCACAATCGGTGAGCGAATTGTGAGTTCCGTAATTTTTACTGAACATTTCTCTCCGTGCGAAAATATCGTCGACAGATGGAAAAATTTAAAATATCCTTTCAGACGTGAAGGGAACCAACAACATATTTTTCCTGGAGACCTCCCCTTTCAGCAAAGAGGGTCTCTCCTTCACAGCGAGGCAGGCTTGCTCGGTGGAAGCGGCGGCCAGGACAAACCCAACAATGCAAGTTTATTTGTTGGTGGCCAATCACTGGACTATCTCGGCGACAGGAAAGGAAACTGTGAACAGATTGTTGAGCTACAAGAACATTAAAATCAAGCGGATTTTAATGAAGGATTATGTCAAGAACACACCGTTGGAGGAATGGTGGAGTTCGCAGATTCTCAGCAACAGTGGGTGGCCGACCCATCACATGTCTGATATCCTCAGGTACCTTACCCTCGCGAAATTCGGGGGTATTTATCTCGACCTTGACGTCGTAGTCATGAAGTACGTATTTTTAATTCATTTCTCCTTTCACTCATATTTGTATTCAATTTCTTTTGCAATATAAATCGCGGGTGAAGTTGAGTGCAGAAGCATTTCGTGTGGCATATGTATTCGATGGATTCATAATAGTTTTGAGACGAGAAATCGGCGCTCTTTGGGATAAAGCAGTACGATACTGAATGGAAAATTAATATTCTTTCTCGAAATGAGATGATACTCTTGAAACGACAAGGAGAGTCTGAAATAAGGAGATGATGTTATTTCTTTCCTTCGAACTAAATGTCGTTGAAAGCGAGCGACGGTCGAAGCTTTTAGGATTTTTAGTCATTTTCTCATCTCCTGACGCAAAAAAGAAACGATTTCTTGAGCCAAAAAATTCTCACTTCGTCCTGGAGTGTTCATGTTCAAGTCATCAATACTTCACGGCATTCTTC